TTTTTTTTTTTTTTTTAGCGTTTTAAGGATCCCACAGCGCCTCCCAGTCGTTTTGAATCGGGCTGAGGAACCGAATCTGCTCCGCTTACAGAGAAAAAACGCTCTGAAATAAATAGGACTCCCCCTCATCTCCTGTTTTCCTGCACAGAAACCGGAAACATCGAACCGTTTTTAGACTAAAGCTGAAAAGACGCACAAAAAAGGAAGAAAGCACATTAATCCTTAAGTTAATACCAGAGTTTCAGAGGTTCTCAACTCGTTTAACCACTAATGTGAATGGACAAATCGGAGATGAGCAGCTTTCTTCAGCTCTTCTGGTTTGAGTCTCAGCAGAGTTTGAGATAAGAGAACTTTTATTTTTATTTTTGGGCCGATTTCCTTGAAAATTCTTCTTCACTGAAAGCCAAAATCCTCGCGTTGTCCTCGTCCCGTTTAGCAGGAAACGGCATGAAAGCAGCTCCTGGTTTCACACAGAGACGGGAAAACTGGGAAAAAACGGCGTTTAACCAAAACTGGAAATGATCCAGAGGAGGTGCAGTACCACCAATGGCCACCGGAGGCCACTGCAGAGCAGAAAGAAAGGGGGCGCCACAGAGCAGCTTTGTTCCTGTTCCAGTCCCGTTTGAGAGCGTTAGCGTCCGGGGGGGGGGGGGGTGGGGGGGTCCTGGGGGGGGGTAATGGGTCAGTACCCCCTCCCCCCCACACACACAGTGGTATGGCCCCCCCCCCTCAGTTGGTCCGGCCCTCGTGGTTGAGCGTGGCCCGCTCCATGCGCCGGTACCAGAACTTCACTTTGGTGTTCTCCATCATGTCGTCGAAGGCCTGAAGGCCCTCCATCACCCGCAGGACCCCGAACACGGCCTGGGGGGGGGAAGAATATATAAATATATATATATATACATATATACATATATATATACATATATACATACATATACATATATATACACACACGACTGGACCCCGAACACCGCCTGGGGGGGGCAAAATATGACTAATGACCGGGGAAAAATACACGACTGGCTAAATAAAGGAGATTAAAAAGGTAATGAATGGATTAAAATAACTATTTTCTGCGTTTAGATGAATATAAAAATACACAACTGGCTAAATAAAGAAGATTAAATGGATTAAAATGACTATTTTCTGGGTTTAGATTCATGGCTAAATAAAGGAGATTTAAAAGGTAATAAACAACTATTTTCTGGGTTTACATTCATAGGAAAAATACACAATTGGCTAAAATAAAGAAGATTAAATGGATTAAAATTACTATTTTCTGGGCTTAAATTCATGAAAAAATACACGACTGGCTAAATAAAGGAGATTTAAAGGTAATAAATGGATTTAAATTACTATTTTCTAGGTTTAGAAACATGGAAAAATACACAATTGGCTAAATAAAGAAGATTAAAAGGTAATAAATGGATTAAAATAACTATTTTCT